CCGTAGCCAAGATCTGGAAACTAGCCCTAGCGCCCCTCAGTAGAGGAGTGGATAAAAAAGTTGTGGCACATTAACTCCTACCATTTGCAACAGCATGGATGGACCTGGAGAGCATTATGCTAAGCGAAATAAGCCAGTTGGAGAAAGATAAGTATCACGTGATCTCACTCATTTGTGGAATAGATTGAACAACATAAACTGATGAACAAAAACAGATCCAGAAACAGAGAAGGATCGATCAGACTGTCAAACCTCAGAGGGAAGGTAAGGGAGTGTGAGGGAAAGGGGAGAGATCAACCAAAGTACTTGTATGCATGTATATAATCCTAACCAATGGACACAGACACTAGGTGGGTGAGGGCATGAGCGGGGAGGTAGGGGAACAATCGGGAGGATAAGGACACATATGTAATACCTAAATCAATCAATCAATCAATCAATAAGTATAAGTAAGTTGTGGCACATTTACACAATGGAATTCCACGTGGCAGTAAAAAGGAAGGGAATTTTACCTTTTTCAACAGCATGGATGGACCTGGAGATTAGGATGCCAATGAAATAAGCCAGTCAGAGAAAGACAAATACCACATGCTCTCACTTACATGTGGAATCTAATGAACAAAACTGACGAACAAAATAGAAGCAGAGTCATGGATGCGGGGAACATACTGACAGATGTCAAAGTGGAGGGGAAAGAGGGATCCATAAAAAGGTGAATGGCTTAGCCAAAGAACATATATGCATCACCCATAGACACAGGCACGCATGTGGTGATGGCCAGAGGGAAGGGGTGGCAGGGACTGGGTAGATGGGGCAATGTGGGAAAGTGGGAACATCTGCAATAGTGTGAAGAATAAAAATAAAAGTTAGAAAAAGAACAGTCAGGTAACATTCGCAGTTCTAACTGAATATTCACTCAGCTCCTATCATGATTTTATAACCAGGGAAACTGAGACAGAACACTGTAAGCATTTTGTATATATTTTTATTGATTTCAGAGAGGAAGGGAGAGGGAGAGGGAAAGATTGAAAACTCAATGATGAAAATCTTTGATCAGCTGCCTCCTTCACACCCCCTACTGGGGATCAAGCCTACAACCCAAGCATGTGCCCTGACTAGAAATCTAACCATGATCTCCTGGTTCATAGGTTGATGCTCAACCACTGAGCGACACCATCTGGGCTGTAAGTATTTTTGTCTGAAGACTCAGATAACATAACAAAATTTAAATTACAGTGGATATTCAATATTTTGCATTCATTTCCAGCGTACAGCATAGTGGCTACACAATTAGGTGATTATGTGATTGGATACCATTTCTAATCTGTTTTTGTGATGCTAGACTTGAGCTCCAACGAGTTGTTTTTGGCAAGCTCTTTTGATGCTCATATTCTACCTTCCCTACTCATGTCCAAAACCAATATCATTGCCTAGCTGCTGTTGGCCTATTGGTCAGAGCCTCAGCTCATGCAGCGAAGGGTTAAGGGTTCCATTCCCAGTCAAGGGCATGTACCTGAGCTGCAGGTTCCATGCCTGGCATGTGCTGGAGACAACCAATGTGTCACTCACATCAATCTCTCTCTGTCTCTTTCTCTCTCCCCTGCCCTCCTTGCCTCCCTTCCACTCTGTAAATAGTAACGGGTAAAAAATCCTCAGGTGAGGAGTCACAACAGTCAAACAAGGCAACTCCCATCCCCAAACCCTTTTGCAGAAGCCACACGGCTGTCCAAGGAAGACCACAGCGGTGGCAAGACTCACTCCAGCTCTTGAACCGAACAGGTTGGGAACACCAGGGACATCATCAGCACCAGCACTCCGTTATCTCCTATGTTATTCACGCTCACATCCAGATGCTTCAGAGTTTCGGTGAGGACGAGACTTCTCGAGATTAAGCTTAAGGAACGTAATGTAAGACAACAGAAGAGCAACCTGTGGGGAATCAGAAAAGGAAAAAGAAGGAGGAAAAAGAGGAGGAGGAGAAGGAGTAGGAGGAGAAGGAGGAAAAGGAGGAGAAGGAGGAGAAGAAGGAGAAGGAGGAGAAGAGGAGAAGAAGAAGGAGAAGAAGAATAAGAAGATTCTGAGTCAATAACACAGTTTAACCACCTGAGATATCCTATAATTAATGGTGGTAATGGTTCTAGGTCTCTGAGTGTACGGAAAGACCATTAGAATGTATATCTTATCATTATTGTTTGTTAATCCTCACCTGAGGATATTTTTTTCATTGATTTTTTCTTTTTTTCCTTTTTTTTTTAGTATTTAAAGTATTACAAATAATAGTACATATGTCTTCTTTTCCCCCCATTGACCTCCCCCCGGCCTCCCCTACCCCCAGCAAATGCCCCCCTCCCTCCAGTGTCTGTGCCCATTAATTATGCTCATATGCATGCATACAAGTCCTTCGATTTTTTTTTTTAAGAGAGACACTGGAAGGGAGAGGGAGGGAGAGAGAGAAGCATGGATTGGTTGCCTTCTGCATGCATTCCTACTGGGGCCTGGAATCAAACCTGTAACTCAAGTAGGTGCCCTTGACTGGGATTTGAATCCAAGACCCTTCCGTGCCCAGGCCAGTGCTCTAACCACTAGTACACACCAGCCAGGGCTGAATGTAAACCGTAAATGGATGTATATTATGGTATGTGAATCAAATCTCAAATCTGTCCGAAAAAATCAAACAGGAAACAAATCATGAAGATGGAAAGATGGCATCCTGAGGTGACATTACACCTATTGGGAGTGTCAGTACTGAGCCAATACCTTCTGACCCTTTTTTGAACAGAAGTAAACTAAGTAATACTGGCAATTACTTACTGGGTTCCTCGGGGACCAGAGAGATCCTAGCATAAAGAGGTTTTGAAGACAATTGTATATATATTTTGAGACTTGGAGTTAGAAAGAAGAGCATGTATTATTCTCTCTCCTTAAGTCACTGAGCAAGACCATTAAGTCTAAGTTACAGAGCTAGGGGCTAGAGCCTTAGGGTCTCACACGTGGAGAGATAATCAGCTTGATTACAAGCTTGAATGACTTTATGAAATGTTTATCATTTCTTAAAGATGCACCTGAGGGTATGGTTTTAGAGAGAGAGAGAGAGAGAGAGAGAGAAGAGAGAAACATCAACATGAGACAGATACTTCCATAATTTGTCTCTTAGAAGCATACTGACCAGGGATGGAGTCCCCTCAATCTAGTTATGACCCAGCATCTAGTTATGACCCAGCTTGGGAATGGAACCTGCAACCTTTTGTGATATAGGACAATGCTCCAACCAATGGAGTCACCCAGAAGCCAGGGCAAAGGTTTATAATTTTTAAGTGACAAAGATGAGGGAAAAATTATACAGTTTTGAACAGAAGGAATTAATAGAACATTTGGAAACATTTGACCTAAAAAATAGGACGATAGAATACCATGTCATACTACCAGAGGCACTGGTATTACAATCAACCACATGAATATTTCTACAGGACAATACATGAACAATAATGATTATAAAGAGTTGTTTTACTTCCTGGTGTTGTGTTTTGAAATCCTCTGACTACTGAAAAAACAACAACAACAACAACAATACACCTACTATGCACTGCCCGGGTAGCTTATTTAGTTGGAGCATCATCCCTATACACCAAGGTTGAGGGTTTGACTCCTGGTCAGAGCACACACAAGAATAAAAAAATGAATACATAAATATGTGGAACAACAAATCCACGTGTCTCTCTCTCTCAAAATCAATCAATAACAAGAAATAAAGAAATGTGGACATAGCCCCCTGTCTACTATCTTGAAAGAAGTAGAAACTAGAATAAACAGAAGTCCCTACTTCAAGGCAACGTATCTCCACACCTTCCTCTTATCAGCATCCGTCCTGGTGCCCTCAATGACATCACATCCCTCATGACACCAATCACAGCTACTTATCGAGAAAGTAACCGTAAGTCCTCGCTCTTATCAAGTCAGCTGCCATGGCCCAGATGTGCTTGGAGCCTACGCGACCCCCTATTTACTTCACCTTCCAAAGCCATAGGGTTGGGAGCGTGATGACTCCATTCCCCTGACGGTGAAAGGCAAGTTGAGAAAAGCTACATAGACTGTGGCCAACACAATAAGTTGCCCATTGGGAGTAACAGGTCTGCCTGACTCTGAACACCATGCTTTCAGCCATTATACTTCCCCTCATTATATGTGTGGGTTTTTTTTCCATTGATTTATTGCTAATCCTCACCTGAGGATGTCTTTTCATTGAGTTTTTAGAAGTGGAAGGGAGGGAATGGAATGGAGGGGAAAGGGGAGAAAGAGGAGCATCAGTGTAAGAGAGGAATGGATTGGTTGCCTCTCCCACCTTGACAGGGAATAGAACCTGAGACCCTTTGGTGTCTGGGCAACACTCTAACCACTGAGGCATGCCATCCTGGGCTTAATTGGTTTTTAGAGAGAAAGAGAGTAAGGAAGAGTGAGAGAGAGGAAGGCAGAGAGAGAGGAAGGAAAGAGAGAAGGAAAGAAAGGGAGAGAGAGAAGAGAGAGAGAGGAAGGAAGAGAGAGAGGAAGGAAAGAAAGGAGAGAAAGGGAGAGAGAGAGAGAGAAAGAGGAAGAGAGAGAGAAACATCAATTTGTTTCACTTATACTTTCATTGGTTGTCTTTTTAAAACTTGGACTCAGCCTCAGATTTCCTTTTTTTTTTTTACCGTTTAAAAATTTTTTTATTGAGTTTTTTTTTAGAGAGAGAGGAGAGGAAGGTAGAGGGAAAGAGAGAGAAACATCAATGTGAGAGTACAACATTGATCAACTGCCTCCTGTGCCCCACACCCCGGAAATCAAGCCCACTACTTGGGCATGTGCCCTAACTTGGAATCTAAACAGCCACCTTGACCTATGAGGATGATGCTCTATCCAACAGAGCTACTGGGCCAGCCATTGCCACACCCACGATCGTGTTTTGACCACATGCTCAGACATTCATGCTCAGGCCCAAATGCGTACGTGGTGGGATTATATAAGCCGACTTACACCAGCGACTCGAGAACACAGTCTGGATGGAACAGAGCATCACAGAAAACTTCCATCCCATCTCTACTCAGAGCATTTTTGGACAAGGTAAGTTTCTTCAGGTTCTTGCTGCTGAGGAGGAGAGAGGCAAGTTCTTGGTAGGCACTGGCTTCCAAATCACACTTCATTAAGCTGTAGGAGGAAATGCACACGAATGGGGTGAGGCGCAGGTTTCCAAGCCATCTCTCTTTCGAGAGAAACCAGCTCCAATCAAGGGAGAGGATACCTCCTAAAAATGGCCAACAAACAGATCCTTCTGCTTCTCCATCTTGCCTCACAGCAGTTCTCCAAGTTCAAATTCGGGCAAGTTTGGAGATGGAGTAGGCAGTTCTTCCCCGCCCCCACCCCACCCCCACCCCCCATATGCATCTTCGCTGTGTTTCAGAATTCTAACTCGGATATCAAGACACTCAGCATACCATCACATTTATGGTGACTTCTGATTTCCCCCCGACATAACCTGTGTTGTGTTGCATAATTGGCTCTTGACCAACTTTTTTACTTTGTCTAACCTTCTACTCATTGCCCACACGATGCCATCTTCCCTCTCTGAACTCTGACGCTGGTAGGAGAGAAATAAACCATGAGCCAAAAATCTAGGAACGTGGCCTCAAGGAGAAGTAGCAGGAGGTATTACCCAAAGAGCCCCCCAGAACACCCAGCTCTTCCCCCTGCCCCTCGCCCCCCGCCGACACACACAATGTACATTCAGTTGGGTGGCGACCCACCTCAGATGCTGGATGCTGCACATCGGATTGGCCAAGACCTCGTGCAGAAGTGAAAACACCTTTGAAGAGATGGGCATGCAACTCAGGCAAAGGCATGTCAGGTTCCGGTTGTGAACAATTGCCTTGAACATGTCTTCAAACCTGGTGTCGACCGAGAAATAGGTCAACCTACCAAAGAGGAAACAGCAGGAGAGTTCCGGTCAAGGTCCTCGGGCGACATGCACATTGTCTCTGCGGTTTTCCCTGCCTGCCCTGCTTCATTCTAGAACATTTCTGAGGGTGGACCATTTTTTCCCAGACCGTTCAGCATCCTAGATTCCCTGGCAAGTCCACTAACCTCTGCTAATCCCCCAATCAGACTGTTGACATGGAAATAATCCTCTGGGTCTTTTACCATATGAGCCTCCTCCGAATGGTACCCATAAGTGAAGCCAAGAAACCACACACACCCATCTGCATGTGAAGTTAAACCATGCGTCTATCCCAAGAGAGTAAAGGCCATGCATACATGCTCATGGCTAATGCACCCGCAGGATGATGCACACGTTAATAGTTCACAATTTTACTGAAGAAAACACATGTGTCCCAGAATCCCTGGGTCCTACCCCAAAGCGGAGAACACCCTCCCCTAAGAACAGAACATCCCAAAGAAGGCCAATGCTGTCAGCACTACCTCCAGAATAAATACAGAAGCTGATCGTTTCTCACCATCTCCACCTTAACCTCCCACATGGGCCACCGTCTTCTCTCCCCCAGATCCTTGCAGGAGCCTTTTACTTGGTGTCCCCCCTTCCACCTTCCCTCCCATGATCTTCAATCTACCCAAAGCCACAGGGATACTGCGAAGTACAAGATCTTGCTCGTCTGCTCAAAGCTTTGAAGTGGTATTTTTAAAAATTGAATTTGTTGGGGTGATGTTGGTTGACAATTCCATACAGGTTTTAAGTGTCCAACTCAACAAAACATAATCTGCATACTGCACTGTGCACCCATCACCCCAAGCAAAGTCTCTTTCTGTTCCCATCCCCCCCTTACCCTACTCCACCTACCCTACCTCCCTTACCCTCTGTCTATCACCACATTGTTGTCCTTGTCCATGGGCTGTGTATATATGTTTTTGGGGTAATCCCTTCACCTTTTATCCAGTCCCCCGCCCCCTCTCCTCTCACAGCTGTCAGTCTGTTCCATGTATCCATGCCTCTCTTTCTATTTTGTTTGCCAATTTACTTTGTTCATTAGATTCTGGTCTTTCTCGGACTGTTTTATTTCACTTTTGTTAATTTCCAAATTTATATATCTAAACAACTTATTCAACTCAACACCAGGAAGATAAATAATCCCATTAAAAAATGGGCAAAGACCTAAATAGACACTTCTCCAAAGAGGACATACAAATGGCCAATAGATATATGAAAAGATGCTGAAGGCCATTAATTATCAGAGAGATGCAAATTAACACCACAAGGAGATGCCACCAGAATGGCTATCACCAATAAGTTAACAAATCGTTTTTCACTTAAAGAAAATCCAGCACCTTAAGTGGACAGCCCAGCTCTTCATGATTTGGCGCCAATAGGGCTCTGACCTCACTTCCTCCTACTCTCCCTGTACACCACAGTGCCTCTGTCGGCCCATCTTCTCCACCAGGAATGCTTTCCTACCACGCATGTAGCCAGCTTCCCTACTTCTTCCTGGTACCTAATAAAGCATCAACTCAGTTTCCCCCCAGACCGCCCAAAGATTGCATCTATACTCTTGTACTATTCTTTTCATTGTGTTGTACACTACCTAGCACATTGCATTTTAAAAAATATATTTTTATTAATTTCAGAGAGGGGGAAAAAGAAAAACATCAATGATGAGAGAGAATCATTGATCTGCTGTCTCCTGCACACCCCTCACTGGGGATTGAGCCCTCAACCCAGGCATGTGCTCTGACTGGGAATCCAACCATGACCTCTGGTTCATAGGTTGATGCTCAACCGCTGAGCCACGCTGGCCAGACCTTGCTATGCATATTTCATTGATTGGGTACTGCTCACCTCAGCTCTTTGAGAGTGCAGGGTGGGTGGGAAGTGATCAACCAAAGAATATATATATTAGAGGCCCGATGCACGAAATTGGTGCAAGGGGCTCAGCCCTCTCAGCTGCAGTGGCTGCCTCGGCCCTCGCAGCCCCAGCTTCATCCGGAAGGTTGTCCGGAAGGTTGTTCAGCTGTCCAATCTAATTAGCATATTATACTTTTATTATTATAGATATCCCATGGACACAGACAATATGGTGGTGAAGGCCTGAAGCAGAGGGGGCAGGCTAGAAGGGGTCAGTGGAGGGAAAAATGGACATATGTAATACTTTCAACAATCAAGATATTTTTAAAGGAATTTTTAAAAATCCACACCAGTTATTCCTGTTCCCCAAAGGATTGAGATAACACCTACTTGAGTGTCCGAAGTTGACAGTCAGGATGGCTCAGGGCTTTACACAGAACCCTGTCGGAGGTATCGTCAAGGTCAGTGTTACAGAGTTCCAGTTCCCGGAGGGTCTCCCTGGTGTGGAGTAAACTGCACACATCTCTCCAGTGGACGAGGCTCCTTATTGTTCTACGTGGAGGAAGAATGCAATTCTCCAGCAATTTAGAAGACGAGGCATTCACTGAGACATCTGTTGAGAGCCACTGCTAACCAACCCAGACTTGGAGCCAGGCAGGAGGCAATAAAGGGTGGCCACATGTAAAACAACAACATCCATGTGGTAAGCCGGCACGGCCATGGCATACTCAGCCCCACGTTGGGCGCCTTATGTGCCACGCCAGCTCAGCCAGCTTCGGGAGCTTGAGAGGGGGCGGTGAAGGATGGAGAAAAGACAGACAAGAGAATGAAAGCTGGGTCTGGGTAGGACGCTGTCCTCTCTGATGGAGAGCTAGCGACAGCGCCATGGACTACAAACCGTGTCTTTATTTTATAGCCAGATTCCCCGAGGCAAAGCAAGGGCGTGGTCAAGATGTTTACAACATTCTTGTGGGTTGCAATCCTACTCAATTACAGGCACCTGAACTCCATCATGCCCACATCACTCAGGCATGTAGGGCCACGTGTTTGGACCATAGGTTCAAGCTTACAACTATAGCTGTTGGCTATAATTGTGCTGGGAGGGTTCTGCACTCTAAGCTGGGACTGGCACGTGGAAATGAGCGGACTGTGCACTCTCATTAGTCCGAGGCTTGAACCTGTCCAAACACTGTAGCTGCTCTCCACACATCCAGACCCACAAAAGGAATGGATGAGTCTGTAGACAGGCGAGGGACAATGTCCTGAGTGTGGCGCTTTTGAGTGTGATGATGTTCACTATTAAGAAACACCAGTGATTGTTTAATGTGTTTTTACTGTTTTAAGAGAGAGGGAGGGAAAGAGAGAAAAACATCAATTGGCTACCACCTGCGTGCCTCCTACTGAAGATCGAGGCCACATCCAAGGCATGTGCTCGGACCAGGAATCAAACGGCCCCCTCTCCATGCATGGGGCCATACTCCAACCATCTGAGCCACACTGGCCAGGGCCCACCCTCTATTTTTTTAAACCCATTTTTGTTGATTTCAGAGAGGAAGGGAGAGGGAGAGAGAGATAGAAACATCAATGATGAGAGAGAATCACTGATCAGCTGCCTCCCGCACGCCCCACATTAGGGACCATGCCTGCAACCCATGCATGTGCCCTGACCAGGAATCGAACCGTGACCTCCTGGTTAGTAGATCAATGCTCAACCCTGGCTGGGCACCCACCCTCCTTTATATCTAAGCCACCACCAACCCTCACCTGAATTAATGCAGTAGCCTTCTACCTGGCCTCCTTGCTTCCACCCTTGCCCTTACCGCAAAGTCTATTCTCACCACAGCAACAGTCTCATTCTATTTGTTGTCCACCTTTTCTGGCTAAAGCCAGTTATTACAGTGACCTACAAGGCCCGGTAGTATCTGCCCCTATTATCTCTCTAACCTCATTTCCTACTATTCTCCACCCCCCCACACACACACGCTTCATTCCACACCAGCTTCCTTACTCTTTTTTGAACACCCTAGGCACACTCCCACATCAGACCCTTTGTACTTGCTATTTCCTCTGTCTACAACACTTTTCCCTACCTCCCTGACTTAGTTCAGGTTTTTGGCCAAGTATTACTTTTCCCCTAACTATCTATAGTAAGCAGAATAATGCCCCACCCCCAAAGGTCCACGTCCTTTTCCCTGGAACCTATATCGATGATCACACTGGTATTGATGGTACATTTTTCACAGTCTATGCTATTAGGAACATCCTGAAGAAATTTATAAGGATTAGTTCAGTTAATCCACACAGTAGGTCAGAAGAACTGAGGTTAAGCCAGTGGTTATCAACGAGGGGTGATTTGGGATATTTGGTAATGTCCAAAGCCTTTTTTTTAAATGGTCACAACTAGGGGAGCCAGTTCTACTGGTGTCTTGTGGGTAGAAGTCAGAGATACTATGAAACTGCTTACATTGCCCTGGCTGGTTTGGCTCAACGGATAGAGCATTGACCTGCGGACTGAAGGGTCCCAGGTTCAATTCCAGCCAAGGGCACATGCCTGAGTTGTGGGCTCGATCCTCAGTGGGGGGCCTGCAGGAGGCAGCCGATCAATGATTCTCTCTCATCATTGATGTTTCTATCTTTCTCTCTTCCTTCCTCTCTAAAATCAATAAAATATATTTAAAAAAGTAACTGCTTACAAGTCACAGGACAACAAACAATTGATGGCCCCAGATGTCAATGAGGCTGATGTTCAACCCAGAAACCCTCATGTAAACTGCAGCCAAGAGATTGTAAAAAGTCACCAGTCGTTAGAGATGACTTTATTACCTTTAGTTTCAGCCCCGGGATGGTCAGCAAGCACTAGAGTTATGGGCAGGTCTTAGAAATACAGGAAATACCAAAATGAAAGAAGGTGAAGGGATTAGCCAAAGAACCTATAGCAGTGGTCGGCAAACTGCGGCTCGCGGGCCACATGGGGCTCTTTGGCCCCTTGAATGTGGCTCTTCCATAAAATACCACGTGTGAATGCGCACGTACAGTGCAATTGAAACTTTGTGGCCCATGAGCAGAAGTCGGTATTTTGTGGAAGAGCCACACTCAAGGGGCCAAAGAGCCACATGTGGCTCGCGAGCCGCAGTTTGCTGACCACTGCCCTATAGGCATCACCCATAGACAGACAACAGTGTGGTGATGGCCAGAGGGAAGAGTGGGTCCAAGGTTGGGTAGGGGGGCACAGGGAGGAAATGGGGACCTCTGTAATCGTATCAACACTAACAATAAAAGGAACAAATTTTAAGACTCACCTAGGAGTTGATTGCTCATTAGACTTCTTTTCAAAGATGTTTTGAATACTCAACTTAAGTTTCTGTAGACGCTGGCAGTACCCCAGACAGTAGGATGAAACCATCAGATCCCGGTGGTCTCTAACATAAATATTCGCTTCTGAAAAGGAGTCCATGATCCGTTTCACATATTCTTCCTCCTGGTTCTCAAAGAGACCATGAAACAAAGGTGTGTGGTGCCCAATGGCTTTCAAATTATCACCAAAACACCTCATTTCCGTGAGGAGGTACTGGCTGACATAGTCTGTCAGGAGACGGCAGCCAAGGGCCGTCTCGAAAGTTTTCCTCCTCTTCTTGTTAAGAAGACCGAACATAGAAGCAATGACGGGACTGAAATCATCATATAGTTCCCGCTTCCCTTTACACCTCCCCCAGGCCGAGGGGATCCCGTGCTCGGCCAGCGGCAGCATGAACGCGACGGCTGCACAGAACTCCTGGACTTTTGAGTGTATGAACCTGTAATGGCCTTTCAGGTGGCTGCTGGGCCAGAGAATCTCCAGGGTCTGCAACGTGGAGACATCCGCCTGGGTGAACCCCACGCTCCTGAGGTCCTCCTCGGCGAAGTGCAACGTGTTATGGAGCAACCCTTCCAGCGCCAGTGAGCAGAGACTTTGCAGGGGGACCACGGGCCGCTGGTCGGCAGCCTGGGCGGTCAGCGTGTCCGCCAGAAAATGAGTGTAGATGTCGGTGAGCGTTTGGCACGAGCGTTTCAAATCAGCCCCCTGGTTCATTTGCCGCTGCAGGGCGACGCAAGTGGCCCAGCAGAGGATGGGGGCTTGGCACAGGTGCAAGAAGAGCTCATTCCTCTGTACCAGCTGGAAGGCCGCCTCGGCGCTCTGACCGTCCTTAAAGAATAAGGTGAAATACTTGTGCCTCTTTTCACGGGAGAACGACAGGGTCATGAGCATGTCTGTCTTCTTCATGATCGTCCAGGTGACAGCCTGGCCTCGGGGCCTGGACGTGATGAGGAAGCGACAGCCCGGGGCCAGCTTTCTGGTCAGCAAACTGGCCACGAGGACGGGCGTGGACACCTGCTGCCTGCTGTCGGTGCACAGAGCCTGCGGGCTTATGCGGAACGTGAGTTCCATGTCATCCAAGTCCTCAAGGATAAACAGGATCTTCTGGGGCTCAGAGAGGATGTCAGCGACGGGAGCCCGGCCCTCAGGCCAGTCCTTGGAGATCAGCGCCACCAAGCTGCCAGAGGTCATCTGATTGATGTCATGAGAAGAGAGGTGAATCACGTAAGAGAACACATCCGCCCAGAGGTTGCCATTGGCCCACTCAAACAGCGCCCCTCTTAGAACCATCGTTTTCCCAGATGCTTCCTGTCCGATCAGAAACACATTCAGGGCCTTGGCAGCCTCCGGACTCACATGATGAAAGACAAAATCAAATTTGTTGACAAGTTCTAGGATCATGTCCTGACAGAGTATGTCATGAATACGGTTATGAAGGCATCTTTCTCCCTGGAGCTTTTCCTTGATGAGAATCTTGTGTGCTTCTTTGTTCCCTAAGTCAGTGAGTATTGGGCAGAGAAACACAGAGCAGAGATGAAAGTTCAAGATACACACGCACACACACACACACACGACCACACAAAAACACCCATTTCACCCAGTATCTCTCCTTCCTAGCATTCATCACAAACACAATGACAAGATATTCACTATCAGGAACAAATAAAGAAAAGTGGGACAGCCCACGCTGGTTTAGGGCTCAGTGGATAGAGCATCGGCCCACAGACTGAAGGGTCCCAGGTTCTGTTCTGGTCAAGGGCACGTGCCTCAGTTGCCAGCTCAATCCCTGGCCACCAACCAATCGATGTGTCTCTTTCACATCAATGTTTCTCTCTCTGTGTCGCCTCCTCCCTTCCACTCTCTAAAAATCAATAGAAAAATATCCTCGGGCGAGGATTAGCAAATAAAAAAAGAAAAAGAAAAAGAAGAAATGTGAAGATTCAGATTCAGATTCCTTCAGGAAGGAGATGTTATGAAAAAGGAAAACAACCCAAAACATGTTTTCCTATGATTTCTCCAGAAATATTCATGCCAGAAGATATGGAAGCAATTTCTATAATACTATAAGGAGTGACCGAAGAGCAGTATGTCCATACAGATGTCCAACAGACACATGAAAAGATGTTCAGTGTCACTTATCAGAGAAATGCACATCAAAACCACAAAATGCACATCAATATCACCTCATACCAGTCAGGATGGCTATCTTCAATAAATCCACAAGCACACATTGGTGAGGATGTGGACAAATTGGAACCCTCAAGCAGTGTGGATGGGATTGCTAATTAGTGCAGCTACTATGGAAAACAATAGTATGGAGTGTTCTCAAAAAAATTAATAGGACTACCTTATGACCCAGTCATCTCACATCTGGCCATTTGTCCAAAGAAATCCAAAACACGAATTGGAAACACTGCAATGAACATAGGGGTGGATAGTATGTCCGCCATGCTAAACCCAAACCCTGCCCATAAAACAATTTTGCTTGAATTACAATCCACTTTTTCATTTGAGAGATTTTGTCAACAATTAAGTTTTGAAAGACGCAACAAATGTTACCGATCTCCTATTTTACGTCTCACATCAGAAGGTGTGGTAAACACAGGGACCACATTATGCTAAAAAAAATCAGCAACAATTTAGTAGTGGATGCCCAATAACTTATTTGGGGCTAAGACCAGAGAGGATCTGAAATATTTCTTCCATAAGATGAATTGTAACTGTCTGGAGGGGATCAAGAAATGGTAGTCAACCTGAAGACATGTTTGGTCTAGACATGCTGACTCCTTTGCAGCCATGAGTCACCTGATGTTCCCTCTAAATATTTTGAGTCTTTCCAGATGGATGGAGAACATATAAGGAATGGGAAAAGATATGAGAAAAGACCCTGGCATTTAGAGTCAGCTATGTTTGGCTTAGAGTCTCAGCTCTGGGGCACTTTGAACTAGATCCATGATCTTGGTAATTTCTCTTAGCCTCTCATACACTCATTTCTTCCCACTGGGGTAAACAATTACATCCACTTAAGAGATGTTTGGTAATGACTGAGGCAGCCCATGAACATGATATGCTTAGCAGAGTACCAAGTATGTTAATTCTCCATAATCTTTGCACACAGCCCCACAGATTTCTTTGGCCAAATCTCACAGTTCTATCCCAAAGCATCATGCTTGCAATCTCCTCTAAGTACAGATAGCACTGTAAAGGGGGAGGGGGAGTTGTTGTTTTTTTAATTTTAAAGGCAGAGTGAGGGAGAAGGAGAGAGATAGAAACATTGATGAGAGAGAAGCATCAACATCAATTGGCTGCTTCCTCTATGCCCCCTGGCGGGGATCAAACCCACAACCCAGGCATGTGCCATGACCAGGAATTAAACTATTGACCTTGTGATGCAGGGGTTGATGCTCAACCACTGATCCACACCAGCCGGGCTACAGACAGCACTTTCTTTGGGTAGGTCTAACCCTTCAGCCAGCTCCTTTCATTAAGTCAGTCGGCATGAGGGAAGAAAATATGGGTAGAAGCAGAAAGTCATGAGGTGGGACAAGACCCACATCCAAACCAACACTGGTCCTCTTTGAAGGGATGGAGACGGCACACTATCAAAATGACCAGTCTTCCTAAATACTGCCCCTCCCTCCCCCACCCACGACTCACGGTTCCGCCTATCGTTGATCTTCTCACAGAGGTCTTTCCGAGGGATCTTCTGGAAGATGTTGTACATTAAATTCCAGAGGTGCTGGGCCTCATAAAACGTTGTCAACTGGTTGGCCAGGTCTGGATTTTCTTCGCTTAGCTCGAGCCTGGGGATGGGTGGGAGTCCAATCTCCACGCATTCTTGTCCCAGCTGGTTCCTCAGACTGTGACATTCCTTTCTGCTGAGCTTCTCTAAATACCACAGCAGGTCAGAGTCAGAAGAATCGGATTCTGCCATCTTGTGTCTCTAGCAAGAATCTTGAGGATCAAAGAAGATGGGGTCTAGAAAACCAAGGGGGAATCAGAGAATCATTCCACAGGGGCACCCGCTCTTTCGAAGTGGACTCAGTAAAAAACAAAAACAAGACAAAAACAGCGCTTGTGGCCTAATAGGAGGTGTTTTTTGATAGTCTATTAAACAAGGAGATCTCAAGGCTTTCTTTCTGGGGCAATTGACCTTGGTACACATCTGAGTTAAAGATAAAAGTGGGCCCTAGCTGGTTTGGCTCAGTGGATAGAGCGTCAGCCTGCCGATTGAAGGGCCCCAGGTTCGATTCTGGTCAAGGGCACATGCCTGAGTTGTGGGCTTGATCCCCAGTGGGGGACGTGCAGGAGGCAGCCAATCAATGATTCTCATCATTGATGTTTCTGTCTTTCCCTCTCCCTTCCTCTCTGAAATCAATAAAGATGTATTTTTTAAAAGATAAAAATGGGATATCAGTTGTGTTAAAAGGCAACATTCTTATAGCCTCAGCTGGGTGGCTCAGTTGGTTGAAGCATGGTCCTGTACACCAAAAGATGGTGGGTTTGATTCCTGGTCAAGGGCACCTCCCAGGCCCACAGTTTGGGTGCATGCAGGAGGCAACCAATAGATGTGTCTCCTACATTGATGTCTCTCTCTTCTCTCCCCTGCTACCATTCCCTACTCCCTCCTCCCTCCCTTCCACTCTCTCTAAAAATCAATGGGGAAAAATATCCTCAGGTGAGGACTAAAAAACAACAACCTGTTAAAACAAACGAAGTGGAGACAAGACTCGTGGATACACAGAACAGACTGACAGCTGTCAGAGAGGAGGGTGTTGGGGGCTAGGTGAAAGGTTGAAGGCATTGAACAAAGGGAAAAAGAACCAAGACTCATGACACAGAAAACAGTATGGTGACTGCCAGAGGGAAAGGGGAGGTGGGGGCAGGTAGCAGAGGGTAAAGGAGGATAAATGGTGATGGAAGGAGACTCCACTTGGGGTAGTGAACACACAATACAACCTACAGAGGATGTTGTAGAATTGTCCACCTGAAACCTGTACGATTTTATTCACCAATGTCACCCCGTAAACTCAATAAAAAAAGAAAAACAAACAAACAAGCAAACAAAAAGAATGCAAAATGGAGACCAGACTGGAGAATTCTGAGCAGATGAAGTCAGTTAAGCCACACCAGCAAAAGCAAACCTGGCTCATTTCACAAACATGAACACGAGCTATTTCTCCCAAATGCCTCCGATAACCCTGCAAGGAGCTTCAAGCCAGCTTCCTGAGGACAGCAGGAGGTCATCGCCTTTCACCAAAGCCCCTGCTACCTGGAAACCCCGCTGTAAAAGGCAAGGATTGTGAAGGGTGAACAGTTTCCTCGTTCTCACTCCATGAGCCCCCGAACGTCATTGCCTCCAAGCCTCGCCTCAGGGGTGGATTTGAAAGCTCCCAGTTTGTGAAATGTTCCCCTAGGCCCCATAAACATTGACTGAATGCTCTTACTAACCTGGTGGTTTAAATTGGACTGTTTTTGGATTAGTAATTTTTTTTGAGAGGCCCAATGCCCAGAAATATCAGACCTGTGAAGCTAGAAACTTTAGAAGTTGGACTCAGACAACTTCTATGGTTCTTTTGTGTGTGTTTTTATTACAATTAACACCCAATATTATATTAGTTTCTGGTGTAAAGCATTGTGAGTAGACATTTATATAACTTACAAAGTCATCCCTGAGTAGGTCTACTACCCACCATCCATAGTTGTTGCAATATCATTGGCTACATTCCCTGTGCTGTACTTTACATCCGGTGACTATTTTGTAACCACCAATTTGTGCTTCATAATCCCTTCACCTTTTTGCCCAGCTCACCGTCAGTCTGCCCTCTGTGTCTTTGAGTCTGTTTCTGTTTTGTTAGAATTCCCACAGAAAACAAAGGAACAGCCAAACTCAAGAGCCAGTGCCTTTGAGCCTGAGTGAGCATCCCTGGAGATATGGAATGCCAAACCTGACCATTGAAAACATCCCAACTCTCTTGAACTGTTCCCACACCAAAGAGGAGGTGGTGGCCAGCTAAGGCCACAAAGATGAGTTTCTGGTTAAGAGAAACAGCACACCCAAAAAAAAAGGAAGGAAGGGAGGGAGGGAGAAAGGAAAGGAGGGAGGCAGGGAGGAAGGGAGAGAGGGAGGGAAGAAGGAAAGAAGAAAGAAAAGGAGGGAGAGAGGGAGGGAGGGAGGGGGAGAGAGAAAGGGGAAGAGAGGGAGGGGGAGAGGGAGAGAGAGAGAGAGAGAGAGAGAGAGAGAGAAAGGAAGGAAGGGAGGGAGGAAGGAAGGAAACTGGAGAACTTCAAAGAGGGAGGGAGGAAGGAAGGAAGGAAGGAAGGAAGGAAGGAAGGAAGGAAGGAAGGAAGGAAGGAAACTGGAGAACTTCAAAAATATAAAGAAAAGGGTTTTTTAAGTCAAAAGAAGCCAACTGGCAAGGAAGGGAACTCACCAACCCTGACACCACGTCTAGTCTCAGCGGCCAGTTCCTCAGCCACGCAAGCCAGGAGGGAGAAGCGAAAAGCTGCGTGCACTCAAAGCTTCCTTTTCCTTTTTTATTGGCTGAGGATCAAAAAAGATGGGGTCTAGATGACCAGGTTCATCGGGGAAGGGAAACATTGCTTCACCTGGGCTTCGGGTCTCACCTGTGTTTCTCCAGCTTCTTCCTTCTCCTTCCTCTCCTTCCTTCTACTCCCTTCTCCTTCCTTCTCCTCCCTTCTCATCCCTTCTCCTTCCTTCTCCTTCCTTCTCGGGCTCCAATGACTCCACGGTGGTCCACACCCAAGTGGTGATGTCGGAGCTCTTGGGGCACCCGGCTGAGAACCCTCCAACCATTGATTTGGGCTGTGCTGAGGGAAAGAACTTCAGGTAACCATCCATACCATCAACCACGTAAGAGGAAAACTCTGGTCAGGCTACATGGGGATCTGACGAGGAGCCTGTCAACAGGGGGATGAGGTAATGATTGGAATGGATGCCATCAGAAGACACAGGCCTCACACAGGTGATAGGTGTCGTGGAGGCACTCCTCAGCCCCAAACCCACTCACCTGGGACCTTTAAAGATGGCTGGGTAGCTCAGTTGGTTGGAGCATCTCCCCATACGCCAAGGTTGCAGGTTCCATCTCTGTTCAGGGCAAATAGAAGAATCAACCAATGAATGCATTGAGTGAAATAGCAAATGGGTGTTTCTGTCTCTCTCTTCCACTCTTTCTCCCTCAAAAAAAATCAGTAAAACATATCCATGGGTGTGCATTTAAAAAATTAGGGGGAAAAAACCTATAAAACCTCATAATTAATGAAAAATTATGAAAGGCCCAGCTGGTGTGGCTAAGTGGTTGAGCATCAATCCATGAACCAGGAGGTCATGGTTCGATTCTTGGTTAGGGCACATGTCTAGGTTGTGGGCTCGATCCCCAAAATGGGGCATGCAGGAGGCAGCCAACCGATGATTCTCTCTCATCATTGATATTTCTCTCTCTCTTTTTCTCTCTCTCTCTCCCTCTCTCTCCCTCTCTCTCTCCCTGCCTCTCCTTTCCTCTCTGAAATCAATGAAAAAAACATATTTTTTAAATGATGAAAGAATACCATTTAAGATACAAGACAGTCATGCCCTCTGTCACTAATCCTACTTCAACGTAATTCTCAAAGTATAGCCAGTTCAGTGGGATGAGACGATGGATCTGAAAGAAAGAAGCAGAATGGATAAACTGTGATATATTTATACATGTTATACTGTAAGGCAGGAAAAAAAATAAGTGGTTGCACACACAAATTTAACTCTGCTACATCTCAAGGACAAACTGTGAGCGAAAAAAAAAAGTCTTAGAAGGATCTTTTCATTATAAAATTCAAATCAGAAAAAACTAGATATATCTCTTAGGGGAACATTTATCAGTGGGGAAAATATCAAGTCGAGGGGGGGAGGATAATTAACATAAAATTCACTTCATTTGGCAAATATTGAGTGTGGAGAGGGCATGCAGCTGGGGCTGGGTAGGCAGAGCCGGCAAAGGACCTAATAATGTCTTTCTTCTTAAACTTAAACGTTTTGGGGTGAGGTTGGTTAATACAATTATATAGGTTTCAGGTGTACATCGTCTGCATTTTGCATTGTGTGCTCACCATCCCAAGTCTAGTCTCCTTCCATCACCAAATCTTTGACATGCGCCCTACAATGTCTATTTCTTAACCGAGGTTCTGGACCAGAGATCTTGGTGTTCTGACTGTGGCCATTCCCTAAGTTTTCCACTATGTTGTCTTCATTTCTGTAAATGCATATTTCACAACCTCACGCCATCCCCCATCCCCTGATTAATGGTCCTTAGTTCACAGGATTCTTGTGAAGAAGGAGCAAAATTATAATGAGACGAGGATAGCTCGCAGCACATTGAAGTTCTCAGAGCACATCAGAGGTGACTGCGGTGAGTACAGGGAAGGCCAAGGCAGAGTGAAAACCACACCTGAAGGCCCTGATTGGGTAGCTCAGTTGGTTAGAGAGCCGTCCAGATACACCAAGGTTGTGGGTTCAGTCCCCGGTCAGGACAGATATAAGAATCAACTAATTGAATGCATCAATAAGTGGAGCAACCAATCTCTCTCTCTCTCTCTCTCTCTCACCAAACAATAAATTTAAAAAATTTTTTAAAGAAAGAAAACCACGCCTGAAGCATGTGAAACGCATGAGGTGAGTCCTGCTGTACATACTCAGAATCATTGGGTGCCTTTTCTGTGTGACAGAAGAATGGCCCTGGCACAATAACATTCTCATGGAGCTTCAGAGGTGGGAAGGAGCCAATCATTTAGACGAATTTCATAATCATTTAGAATCTATGGGTTTCGACCCCTTTGGCGGTCAAACGACCCTTTCACAGGGGTCACCTAAGACCATCCTGCATATCAGATATTTACATTACGATTCATAACAGTAGCAAATAATTTTATGGTTGGGTC